AGAATGGCTGATGGTCGGATTCCAAAGGATCTCCTCTATGGAGAATTAGTGCAGGGAAAGCGCCCCAGAGGGAGACCACAACTGCGATACAAGGACATCTGCAAGCGAGATCTGAAGGCCTTAGGAATAGACCTCAACAGATGGGAAAACCTGACATCTGAGCGTTCAGCCTGGAGGCAGGCGGTGCATCACGGCCTCTCCCAATTTGAAGCGACCCTTGCCCAGCAGGCTGAGGCAAAGGGGAAGTCACAAAAGCAGCAAAACCAGGGAGCTGGACAGGGAACAGATTGGATTTGTCTTCAGTGTGGAAGCGATTGTCACTCTTGAATTGGCCTTCTCAGCCACACTAGGCGCTCTTCCAAGCCCTTCATACAGAGCACGCTACCATAGTCTTTCGAGACTGAAGGATGCCTAACTAAAATTGTTGCCTAAAATTGTGGCATTTTGTTGTTATAATTGCTCATGTTGTCTGTTATATAACTTAGGGTTAGAATAAGGAAAGAATAAGGATCATCAATATATACTGTACCTAAGTAAGCAAGTACTTAATGTTACAAGTGTTACACTGAGTAAAGCTATTCAGAGTTAGATGTGTGAAGGTGTGAGTACACTGATTTGCAGCCTGTATTACATTTAAAATTGCAGTCAGTGTTCAGACAGGGGCTGCAGATTAATTTGGGGGTTCACTGTTTGCACTGAATGCAATGAGATACACATTCCATCCCACAGCCCTTTCTTTCCTCTGGTCTGCCCTCTGCCAATCCTTCCTTCTTTCTATGGTTACATTTCCTGATCCTTTAATGGGGCATAAATGGGGGAAATAATAGTAACGAGGACCTAGCAATAAGGTGATAGGGCAATCTAGCTCTAATCTCATACAGTATGTGTAAAAAATATTTTTAAAATAAAAATATTTAGAGGGTGATCAGGGGAGAGGAAAGAAAGTGAGGGGGCGGGTGTTCCCCTGGTCCTGAACATCAAGCCCAAGCTGCCTTTGTCAACAAAACACTACCTACAGACAAGCCTCCTCTTTACAACAAAACAAGGGAAAAGATAGTTTGAATTCTGGTTCGAAAAAGTAGAAGCCCCTGAGCAGCAGAGAAGAAAAGCAGCTTTGGGAGCAAAAACTGACTAGAGTGATTCGAATCAAAGTTTGTGTCATGTGCAGAGATGGGGATATTTGTATTCATAAACAAATACATATATCCCCATTCCAGGTGCACCCAATGTGGGTCTGACGCTCAGAACTGGCCCATCCACTCATGTGTCCTGGCGCTGTGAAGGTTCCCCCTCTTCCCACCAATCGTGGAAGTAGCTCTGCTGTCTCCTGGCTCAGCTGGCTACTCCAGGCAAGGGGTGGGAGGACAAGTCTCCCTGAACAGCTAGTGAGTGGCTAGCTGAGCAGGGGGATGGTGGAGCTACTTCCACGATTGGCAGGAAGAGTGGGACACTGGCAGTGCAGTGGTATGTGACTGGACAGGCTGGTTCCAAGACCCAGACCCACATGAGGTGCACCTGGGATGGGGATATTCGTATTTGTTTACAAACACAAATATCTCCATCTCTAGTCATGTGGTCAGTAAAAAAATGCTTCCAATTCATCCATTGTATAAGCAGAGCATATCTTGTGATATTTGACCATGTAGTTTCAACCTGAATCAGTGGAGAATTGAACTCCCAGCCTCTGGCTCTCTTGTTGTTTTTTAAACAACCTCACATGCTCCCTAGGGATGTGGCTAGGAGGAACCTTTCTGGATTAGGGAGACTGTCAAGTACTAACCAATTGTTCCCTCCTGCCTCTGAATTCAAAGAGAGCCCCACCTCTCTGCTCAGTGTTTTTCCCCCTCTCTATAGTCTGTTGAAGCCAACAGTTGTTTTGTTAGTTTGTTGTTTGATCTGTTCTACTGTAAGTAATGAAACTTTTATTCTTTCTTCTACTAATGTCTCAGAGTGAGTTATTGAAACTGTAAGTGTTACTTGATGAGTAAAAGGGTTAGGTTAATCTGGAGAACTTGAAGTTGTTCTCCTCTGCGAATCCCTGCAGTTCTGTTGTGCAATGACAGAAATTTAACCAAAAACTCAAAACTTTGCAACAAGCTCCACAGCCAGATAAGTTAAACCACTGAGATGAGTGGGGAGAAATCATCTTGCTGCTTTTATGGATCTGCCCTCAGTTTATCCCTTCACAGAACACAGAACATATAAACTAAGATCATTTTATCCCTTCTATGTCCTGATTCATAGATCATACTACCTTTGCAATGTGTTCTGAGTCACAGTTGGGCTATAGTATTCTGCTGGATTAGTGGAACAGGATGATTTATAATGTACCTCCCTTTTTTACAGTAAATCATAGAACAGGTCGTTTTAATAGATTTAAAAGAGTGTCTGCCTTGGTACTGAACTTACAAATAATTAGAAACTACACTTAACGTACTAAAAGATTTTGTTAACTGTAGTTTCTAATTGTTTCTAAGTTCACGACGAAACTAATTATGTACAAACACACAATACTTTCTAAACAGCTAGGCATGTTAATATTACACTTATTTTCTTAAATCCCCGAGTTATCTTTGAGTCCGAATGTTTATATCTTCTGTAGCAACTTTGTGGAGCAACTAAAAAACATTTTAGAGGAAGGGAGACAGCTGCAAGAATTTTCACAAATGAACTCTTAGAAAATGCATTCCAGTTATTACTGAAAGCTAATGAGCCCACTGAGAAGAATGAAACTGCTGAATGGAGAATGCTATGTAATTAAGACTGAACCTTTGGTGGAGATAGCTACTCACAGCAATATTGTGTGACCGGGGCTGCCTGCTTAGATTCGTAGGCTGGTCTCCTCCTTTAGCTCTTTCTATGTGATTATACAGAAGAACACATTGTAGTTATACTGTACTAAGTCAGTGCTGGGGTATTGCTGACTTAGCCTATTAGCAGAACCTATGTAAGAGGCTACTCTTCAGCAATCACATACAGTATACTTTTTGCAAGAAACACAATCACTTGCCTCCTTTGCTGAATTTTCTTCTCAAAATTAATTACATACTTCTTGAAAAATTCTCTATAAAGTGTTGAGAGCGTGCATTTCTTCTCAATAATGATACTGTTGGATTTTCATTCTGTGTCAATAAATCGTACAGTTTATATATAGAGCAGCTGTTCCCGACCTTTATCAAGTCGTGACCCCCTTTTATAATAGCCAAGTAACCTGTGACCCCCTAAAATTTTTTTTGCATAAAATGGCATTTTTAATGGGGTAAAGTCATCCCTTCTCATACTGTAGAGGCTTTTTTCTCCCACTAAGGGTCTGTTTCTCAAACATACACATACTGTACATACTAACTTTAATATCCCACTCTGAAAGGTTAAGGAATAAATTATTTAACAAGGGCTACAACACATTTCTGTTGACCCCTCAGAAAACACTTTGTGACCCCTTGGGGGTCATAATTCCCAGGTTGGGAAACACTATCATAAAGTCACTATATGCTTCTCCTCCATAGGCGTAAATCATGTTTGTTGCATGTTGCTAGAATATAATGTTTCTCAAAATTTTGAACTCAAGGCATTGCGTGTTTTGGACTGCAATCCTTACCTTACCATAGTACACTTTCCTTTTATAAATTTTGTTTGAACTTGCATGCTACCGAATGTGATTAAGATAACTCTGCATGATAAACAGGCTTCGTTAGCACTACCTTAGTGCCTTACAATGAAAGACCCCCTTATCTGAATTCTTTTAAAGACAGTTTAGATAACCATTTGGAGAATAATTTATTAATGATATTTATGTATTTATTTATTTAAAATAATTAACCCCATCTATCTTGATGAGTATGAGTACTCAGTAGGTCTCTGAATACCAGCCTGTTTGTGAGGTGCTCTCCAGACACATGTATGGGCTTGTAAATATTCTAAGGCAGTGGTCCCCAACCTTGGGTCTCCAGATGTTCTTGGACTTCAACTCCCAGGAGCACATCCAGGCAGATTGGTCCCACAATGACAGTTACACAAAGCTAATCTCCAGGAAGGTTTTCTGTTGAAATACACAAGAATCAAAATACTGTACAGACAGCAAGTATGTATTACTCTCTTGTTTCCATGGGATAGTTTTCTAAACAAGCACAATATGGTAGACTTAGTACAAAAAATTAAATTTTTAAATCAAACAATAACAATAAGACAAAGTGAACAAATTGGATGCAACAAAAATAAAACAAAACAGAAAACAACTGCATGTCCAGAAGTTCCATGCACTAGATCAGGAGTCACCTGAGAAGAATAAAGTACCCCAAAGTCTTTCATAATCTAGCATATCATGAGCCAAATTTTCAAAATGGCTCTGGCTCTTCCCCTTTACAAAAATCAAAGGATCAAAGAAGGCCGTTCTGGAGGCAAATGTTCCAAGGATCTAAAAGGCAGCTGCAAATACAGGATGTCCCTACAAGGATTGGCCCCTCCCGTACACATGTAATCATGGAATTCTTTATTTCAAACAAGGAGATAAAAGGCCTATTTCCTGCTCCAAGGGTAGCTCCTTTTTTTGTCCATTTCTCTCTCTTTCCAAATTGAACTGTGTAGTCACAGACCCTTGTAGGGATTTCCCCATCCATGGGGCTGACAGCAAAATTTTGGTAGAGCTTCACAAATTGCAAACAAAGAGACAAAACATGAACATGACAAATAACTGATTCAAAATGAGGAACAATTAAATCAAAGAAGCACATTTACTTGTGATAGCAAAAGGCTGGGATGTTTCTAAGATCCCAAACATAATGCAAGGCCGGCATAGGCTATAGTGGGCTGTAGTCTCAGGAAATGGCAGAAGTTGAGATTCAACACATTTGTCATCCAGGTGTTGCGAAGATCAAGGGATTTCAAGAAGTCTGTTGCAGAGCAGAACTAATTTCTTCCCTGGAATTCATGGAAGAAACAGATCAGACAACCACTTCATAATTAGAAGTGCTAACAAGTCATATTTTCCAAAGATACACCCACAGACAGACATTAAACTCATGCATCTGAATCCCATGGTAGCCTTCCAGTGACCAGTCACTGAACAGAAGCAAGTTTATTTGCTGCTTGTGCCAAGTTAATCAAGTGCATAAGAACATAAGAGGAGCCGTGCTGGATCAGGCCAAGGGCCCAGCTAGTCCAGCTTCCTGTACCTCACAGTGGCCCCACCAGATGCCTCTGGGAGTACATAATACAACTAAATATCTGTCTCCTGATACCCCTCCCCTGCATTTGACATTTGGAGGTACCTTCCTTTTAAGCCTGGAGATTATACATCCCCATCATGGTTTGTAACCTGTGATGGACTTTTCCTCCAGGAATCTGTCCAATCCTCATTTAAAGGCATCTAGGCCAGATGCCATCATCACATCATGTGCCAAGGTGTTCCACAGACTAACTGGGTAAAGAAATATTTTCTTTTGTCTGTTCTCACTCTTCCAACACTCAATTGGAGTGGATGTCACGTGGTTCTAGTATTGCGTGAGAAGGAAAAGAGCTTCCCTCTATCCACTTTATCTATCCTCTGTATAATTTTTTATGTCTCAATCATGTCCCATCTCAGGTGCCTTTTCTCTAGACTAAAGAGTCCCAAACACTGTAGCCTTTCTGCATAAGGGAGGTGTCCCAGCCCAGTCATCATTTTAGTCACTCTCTTCTGCACCTTTTCCAGTTCCACTATGTATTTTTTGAGGTGTGGTGACCAGAACTGTATGCAATACTCCAGGTGCAGCCTTACCAACGTTTTGTACAATGGCATTATAAAGTCGGCTGTTTTATTTTCAGTCCCCTTTTTAAATGAGACCTAGCATGGAATTGGCCTTCTTCACTGCTGACACACACTAGGTTGACACTTTCATTGAACTGTCCACCAGCAAGATCTCTCTCCTGATCCATCACAGACAGCTCAGAACCCATTGGCCGATAAATAAAGTTTTGATTTTTTGCCCCAATGTGCATTACTTTACATTTTCTTATATTGAAAAGCATTTGCCATTTTGCCACTCATTCTCCCAGGTTGGAAAGATCCTTCTGGAGCTCTTCACAATCCCTTCTAGTCTTCACCACCCAGAAAAGTTTCGTGTTATCTGCAAACTTGGTCACGTCACTGTCTCCAGGTCATTTATGAACAGGTTGAAAAGCACTGGTCTCTCCATTGTGAAAATTGCCCATTGACACTTACTGTCCTTCCTTGTTCTCAATCAGTTCTGACCTTTTATCCTCTGACTGGGGAGTTTTCTCAGCAGCCTTTGGTGAGGGACCGTATCTATACTGAAAGGCATTTGCCATTTTGCTGCCCATTCTCCCAGTTTGGAGAGATCCTTCTGGAACTCTTCACAATCCTTCTGGTCTTCACCACCCAGAAAAGTTTTGTGTCATCTGCAAACATGGCCACCTCACTGCTTATTGTCACTTCCTGACAACAGGCTCACTGTAACGTCTGCTTCGACCCCTACTTGTTCACACATGAAAGAAAGGACGGGCAAGATTGGGAAGCACAGTGCCTTCAAATTAAGTACTTTTAAAAACACTGGGGGGAGAGTTGCATAGATTAACTTTTCCTTAGACTTGCAAGGCAATTACGTATGCAGAGAAGCTGGGGAGCATTTAGGGCTACTGTTGGCTCATATTTGGGTTTAACAGTCCTCCAATGTCCGGACAGACAACTTCAGGTTTAGTGCACCAACGTCAAAGCAACACAGTTCCTTTGATTGCGCAAGCTTTCCTCTCCCCTCCTGATTCTGTGCTCATGCTGAAAGATGCCTCATCTTCTTCACTGTGGCAGCCCCACCTCTTCAACCATTGTGACTTGAGGCTGCAGCAGCTCTGTTGGCTCTACTTACCTCACCACCCTCCAGAAATACCACTACTTCTCACCCCAACTTCCTTGCCTGCTGGCTACTTCTCCCCAGACCTTCATCCATGTCATCACTGCTGGTCAGAAACCCTCTTCGCAGAAGCACTATACACTCAAACCAATGAGGAGCTCATACTCAGGATACAATCAGCACCTACTTAATAAACAACCATTTACCACCATGAATTGTGGGATTTCTCTTATGAAAGTACTGTATAATTTGTCAATAGGGTGCTGACCAGCCTGTCATGTTTTCCCCCAAGATGGTCAACATAAGAGAGGATTTGGGGGAAACCAGGAATGTGCAACTGAGAGTAAATAGAAAGGATTACAACTTCTAAAAACTTATTTCCATGCTTTTCACAGGTTGTTTTGTTGTTGTTCTTTAGTTCTTAAGTCGTCCATGACCCTTAGTGGACCAGAGCATGCCAGGCCCTCCTGTCTTCTACTGCCTCCTGGAGTTGGGACAAGTTCATGTTCGTAGCTTTGATAACACTGTCCAACCCTCTTGTCCTTTGTCGTCCCCTCCTCCTCTTGCCTTCACACTTTCCCAACATTGGGGTCTTTTCCAAGAGCCTCGTGGCGCAGCGGTTAAACCGCTGTACTGCAGCTAAAACTGTGCTCACGACCTGGGATTCAATCCCAGGTAGCCGGCTCAAGGCTGACTCAGCCTTCTGTCCTTCCGAGGTTGATAAAATGAGTCCCCAGCTTGCTGGGGGGGGGGCAATGTGTAGCCTGCATAATTAACTTATAAACCGCTCAGAGAGTGCTTGAAGCACTATGGGGGGGTATATAAGCAGCGCACTTTATGATCAGAGCCACAATCAGCTCCAGGTCTTGTTTTGCTGACTGTATAGAGCTTCTCTATCTTTGGCTGCCAAGAACATAATCAATCTGATTTCGGTATTGCCCATCTGGTGATTTCCATGTGTAGAGGCGCCTCTTGTGTTGTTGGAAAAGAGTGTTTGTTATGACCAGCTTGTTCTCTTGACAAAACTTTATTAGCCTTTGTCCTGCTTCATTCTGAACTCCAAGGCCAAATGTACCTGTTATTCCTTTTACAGTATCTCTTGACTCCCTACTTTAGCATTCCAATCCCCTATAATGAGAAAACATCTTTCTTTGGCGTCAGTTCTAGAAGGTGGTGTAAGTCTTCATAGAATTGGTCAATTTCAGCCTCTTCAGCATTGGTGGTTGTTGTATAAACATGGATTACTGTGATGTTTTAAGGTCTACCTTGGATTTGTATTGAAATCATTCTATCATTTTTTAGATTGTATCCCAGTACAGCTTTTCCCACTCTTTTGTTGACTATGAGGGCTACTCCATTTCTTCTACAGGGTTCTTGCCCACAATAGTAGATATGATAATCATCTGAGTTGAATTTGCCCATTCCCGTCCATTTTAGTTCACAGAATACAATCAAGCCTTTCTCAGCATGAGAAACAGTGAGATGGTGAAATATGACGTATGTTCTGGGCAGTACAGTGAATAACAACATATAAACAAGAACAGTCTAGGCCAGTTTTTCCTAGATAGATGGCAGCCGTTGCATAATGACCATTTTGAATTCTGTGGTTTCTGATACCGCATTTTTTAAATATTTAAACGTATTAAGGTCTCCTTTCCCACTTCTGTTAGCTGCTCAGGGAGTATATAGGTAGGGGACTTGGGCTTTGTGTTTATCAGTACCAAAAAATAACCATTCAGTAGCTCACTCATAAACAAAGAGTTCATTATTATAAGTGTCCTTTCTCAACAATTTAACTTAATGTTCAGCTTTTTTAAAAACTGAGCATAAATACTGTACTTGCTCCTGAGATTAAGGGTGTTTCCCGATACTAGCAATTAGAAGACAGTGTACTATTACCCCTAAAGGGATTTTCCTTGCTAAGGAAAAAAAACAGAAGCAGTTAAAAAGAGAGAGAGAGAGAGAGAGTTACAAGAAAAGGGCAACATCAAGTGAAGCCTTCATACAAGACAGTGGATATGTAGCGTGGCAGCATGGCAAAATCCTCATCTGAAACAGCTCAATGTCTGCCTTAGCCCTTAGCAAGGATACTGCCATAAAATGGGACCAACAGTATCCTCTCTTGCATTTTTACTTCAGAGTAAGTCCTACTGTATTCAGTGAGGATTCCTGCCTTCCATGTCTCTATAAGACTGCATGTCATACTTGCTTCCATGCTTGATGAGTAATTGGCATTTCTGCTTAAATTACAGCAATAATATTGTGACTGTATTTGGAATACGGAACATTAGTGTAAGTGTATATATGCAAGTTTAAAGAAGAAACATCCTCCTTTATGGTAAAATGTGTCCTCCTTTTGGATAGCAATTGCTGTCCCCTGTGTCCTCCCTTTTGGCAGTGCCCTGATGGTGGCGACCATAGGTTGAAAGCAACAGGCAGAAAGAGGAACCTTTGGCATACAATATATCTTAGAAAAGAAGATAAGGAGATAAATTAGGATGCCATCTGAGTCAGAATCAGGACTTAGAAAAGGGAACAGGTTGGTAACATTGTCTAGCTAAAATCTTTGAGTCGTTTCACTTTAACAAAGGCTGAACAGAACTTCATGCTCAGCTCAGTGATTTCAGAAAAAGAATCTCAGTAGCAAGTATAAACCAGAACAAAGGAGAATTTTTGGCTTCAACCTAGATACTTGCAACTGGGCAGGTGAGGTGCCTCCTTCAATCTGTCCACAAATTCTTAAAACAGAATCTCTTCTAAGGCTGGACACAGATTATGGAATATTTCCTGCAGAATTCAAGGATATTTGGCTCTAGAGTTCTAGTTTTCTACAGGGCCTACAGTCCGTAGCACATTATCTTTTATTAATCCACCATTCTTGAACACAGTATCCTAAGGATAGTCTTTTGCTATTGACTGGATCTTACAGGGGGGCTTTGGTTCCAGGATATCTGTAAGAAAGACTTGGCCAAAAGGAGGAAAAAGTACAAAACAATGTTTTGTTAACATGTTAGAGGTGTTTTATGATACCTCTTTGATTGGGGTAATCCCAGGCTCTTTGACCTTGACAATTGCTGTTTCTAGTCTGCTTTTGCTAGGCTTGCCCTGCATTTCACCAGCACGTCATATGTATCAAAATATTCTCGTCTCTTCGTTTTGGTTTTCTTTCTCTTTTTTGGTGTCTTGTGGTTTTATGTATGTTAGAGACTATCAATAAAAAAAAATATGTATCAAAATATAAGCAAATCTTGGCAGGACCATAAATAAATCTGGGTAAATCTCATATTCCTTTATGGGATGCCCAGAAACACTTGGTGAGCCATGTAAGAAACAGAATGAAAAACCTGGCAGATCCAGCAGGGCTCATTTTACATTCTTGAAAAGTGAACGAAACCAGGGGAAAGCTTTTCTGAAATGCAGCTACTTCAAATGAAATATGATTGTGCATCAGTTTGAGAAAATGCACCTAGACCTTTGATTTACATGGAAAAATGAACAAGTCAGATCAAAGGAATGGCTTCAACTTTTGAACGATGTACAACTCAACCCTCCCCGTGGCTGATACACTAATTGTATCAGACAAATAGATCAAGGGCACTCTTTGCCCATATCAAATCAGTTTCCCCTCGAAGGGGTGCAGCCTTCTAAAAATACAGCAGACCAGTCAGACCGGATAAATATCACAAGCTCTGCTGTTTGATGTTATATCACTGCTAGATTAAGATTTCCGAAAATATTCTTGAAACAAATGCATATGCCATGTGATATTATTAGTTGAAATCTTTCACTTTCCTGCCCATTGCCATTGTCCAATATATAGTACTGTAGTAATAATAGTGCAAGAAAAATAATAATTTGTGAACAGTTTGAAGGCTTTTTCCCCAGTTAGTTTTTGTTTGGTGTAGATGATTAGAAGGGAAGTGGTCTTTCAGATCACTGTAGCATCTAAAGATAGCATTTTATTACTTATTTTCTTTCTCCTTGGTGATGCTGTGAGGAGAAATTGTGGAAGAAAGATTGGTTATGAAGCAGGATATTCAGGAAAACTACCTCAACTCCACCCCTTTCCCTGGCAAATGAAATAAGTTTTAATTTTCATTCCTTACCAGGATAATGAACAAGATAAAGGACCTTCTGAGGTAATTTATAGAAACATGCAAGGCAGCAGGGTTGTGATGTTGAATGCCTCATGGAACAGAAGGAGATGTGTGGAAAACTCACAGATATCTGATGGTTGCTGCACACCTATTGAGTCTTATATCCAAGGCTGGCTAATACTCCCCATGCACCTTCCTTTTTTGTAACCCAACCTTTATCTTAACTTCTTGTTAGTTTCACAGATGTTATTTAGTGAATAACAGAATCAAGGATGTTTGCCAAAGTAATCAGGTCACGTATACAACAATTGCCATTTTAGGTAAAAAAATTATCCAAATCCTATTAGTTACACCCATGGTTGTAATGCCCTTGGTATAAAACCCAGGCTGAATCCCATGATTGATCACACAACAAACATCCATCTGTGCTGAGTTCTTATGACAATCTACTGTTGAGATTTATGCTAATTGGGTTACACTACTGTAGATTCCAGGTTTTATGTTTTATAAAGCTATTTATCCAGTTCTTAAACAACAAACAACAATCATCAGCATCAGCATCATGTACCATCAACCTTTCCAGGGTTTTCCAGGTATAGAATACTCAGAAGTGTTTACCATTCCCTTCTTCTGGGGGCAGCCTGGGACTGTGCAGCTTGCCCAAGGCCACCCAGGCTGGATCTACTTACAGAAGGCACGTCGTTATCTAGTCGTTTAGTCATGTCTGACTCTTCGTGACCCCATGGACCAGAGCACACCAGGCCCTCCTATCTTCCACTGCCTCCCAGAGTTATGTCAATTTCATGTTGGTTGCTTCGCAGACACTGTCCAGCCATCTCATCCTCTGTCGTCCCCTTCACACTTTCCCAACACCAAGGTCTTTTCCAAGGAGTCTTCTCTTCTCATGAGATGGCCAAAGTACTGGAGCCTCAACTTCAGGATCTGTCCTTCCAGTGAGCATTCTGGTTTGATTTCCTTTAGAATTGATAGGTTTGTTCTCCTTGCAGTCCAGGGGACTCTCAAGAGCCTTCTCCAGCACCACAATTCAAAGTCATCAAATCTTCGGCGGTCTGCTTTCTTTATGGTCCAGCTCTCACATACATCACGACAGGAAAAACCATAGGTTTGACTATTCGGACTTTTGTTGACAAGGTGATGTCTCTGCTTTTTAAGATGCTGTCAAGATTTTTCATCGCTTTCCTCCCAAGAAGCAGGCGTCTTTTAATTTCATGGCTGGAGGTGATGGGACCAGTGGTCATGATCTTAGTTTTTTGATGTTGAGTTTCAGACCATTTTTGCGCTCTCCTCTTTCACCCTCATTACAAGGTTCTTTAGTTCCTCCTCACTTTCTGCCATCAGAGTGGTATCATCTGCATATTGGAGGTTGTTGATATTTCTTCCGGCAATCTTGATTCCGGCTTGGGATTCCTCCAAAAAATCTAACACTGGATGGGTTTCAATTCTAAAACAGAAGGCACAGTAGGTATTGAACTCCCAATATCTGCCTCCACAGCCAAATATCTAAACCACTAAGCTATCCAGACAACTCTTCTTGAACAATACCATGGATAAAACAGGACAGAAACCTAATGCAAATCCAAAATGCTATGGAAGAGTGTTTGAAATGTTAGCATGAACAGTGTGATTCATTAAAATTTTCATTACAGGTCTCAGTGATTATAGCTGAAGTTAACTGTAAGCCATTAAATGAAATATTTGTAATTAATTTTAAATCATACCACTGGAGTTTGTGGTTTGCTCCTTCAGCTTGTCTCTTTTCATATTTTAATTTTAGGGGTGGGGATGTCATCACATAAATCTATTGCCAGAAAAAGAGCCTGTGATCCACTGTGCTTGTTTATGAATGTCATGCAGCCATAGGCTGAGCCTTGTGTGTGGTAAGGAAGACGTTTTAAAGAAGCCTGGCAGAGTCAGTGGGGGATATTCTGTAGATGAGTTTCATTAAATGGCAAAAGACTAAAAAATAAGATGGAATGCAGGTCAACCATAATATGACACTGAACAAATAGGAAAAACAATATTTTAGACCTCTGGTTAACAATGAAGATGTTGGGTCAGTTAGTTGCAAGTATTGGAAAAGTTAATTTTGCACTACGAAAAAACCCCATGCTAAGCAGGGAGATTTGGAGTGCTGTTGTTCACAAAAAGTAGGCACTGGTCAATTTTTCCTCTGTTGAAGACTACTTAGATCAGTTCTTCTCCTGTATCACAGTGAGGAACTGAACCTCTGGCTGCAAAGTCAGGTATCCACTTAGCTATGCAGCCAGATAGTAATCACAGAATAATGGCATTTGAAGGCCACTGAATTCAACTCCCTACTCAATACAGGAATCCAAGTTAAAGTACTGCATATCTGACAAATGGATATCTAACTTTCTCTTGAATGCTTCCACTGTTGCAGAGCCCACCACCTTCACAGATTCTATGTTACACGACAACTGCAAGTTATTAATCCAGGATTAATAAAAAGGATACTATTTATTGCTTGGACTAGAGTCTAGAATGGATGGAAATTTTGCATCTTAACTACAGGATTTCTGTCTAATCTTACTTTAAAATTGGGTTAGCTTTCTAGTTAGTGGTTCAGGTTATTTTCAAGGTTCTATGACATCCTGTATCTATTTCACCTGGCCTTTTGTTCCCTTTTTACAGAGTACTGTTTACTGCCTTCAAAAATGGAAGAACACTGGTTTCTATGGGGATTACATAGTTTATTGCATCAATCATATCTAGCAATGTATGGCTGCTTAATTTAGCTGTCTCAGAATATTGTGTTCTAGGCCATTCTGTTCCATTCTGGATGAATTCTGGTTATAAAGGCATTTTTTTTAAAAAATCTAACACTGAATGGGTTTCAGTTCTTAAGTACTATTCTTGAGTGCTGTCATTTTTGCCATCTGGTTTGGCTTGTAAACGAACTTAGTGAAAAGCTAGAAGAAGAAATGCAAGCAGCTAAGCATACAGTGGCAACCTTTTTAGAACTGGGCATGTGTCCATAAAAGCAGAGCAGGTCTGCAAGGCTCAGACTGAAGAGGATTACAGACTTAATGCAGTGTCTGCTTTTCAAAGAAGAAAACATATTTAAAAATAGAAATGTAAACAATAGTTGCAAAAAATAAAGGTATTTATAGAGGCAGCCATGCTAGTCTGTTTCAGAGTAATTAAAAAAAGAGAAAAAGGTGACACCTTAGAAACTAACAGATTTATTTAATCATGGAGATTACAACTCAATTCTTCAGATTAGGGTTGCCATAGAGCCAGTTGACGTGGTTTTTCTTGGACTTTAGATGCTCCATGGTCCTGTTAAGCCCATCAGCTGGTCCCAACTGTAAACTTTTTCCTTCTTTAGAAAGAATTCTCTAATAAAACCAGAAAGATCAGGCAAAACATTCAATCACTGTTTTAGTGTGAAACATAATCCATAAAATGAGTCAATGAGCCAAGCTATCTACAGTTTGACAGGATCTCAGAGATTGTATACATGGATAACCCTAACTGAATGTTGCAATTGTAGGAACCTTTGATCCCTAGCTGCTTTGCACACAGTTGAAATCTATTCGCAGAGCTGCCTTCTAAGATCAAAGCTATAGATATGAAAACTGGCTGGGGGATTATGGAAGATATAAAAAAAAACCAAACAGAAACTTTTCTGAGCTCTGATATTATGCAGCTCACTACGTTTCCTCCATTGATGGGGGTTGACCTGATGGTCATTGGGATTCCTTCCACCCCTACAGTTCTATGAGTTTGTCATTCTACAGCTTTCCAGAAACTTCAAATTCCATTTCATTTTCCATTGGCTTCCTGGAACTTAGCTAGTACCTCACTGAGGAAAGAAATAGGTAGCATCAACAAGAGAGGAGAAGTAAAAATTATTAGAAGCTGCTACTTATTGTTGTTACTGTTGGGCTTCTGATTGCTGTGAATCTTAAATTTCTGGAAAGAGATTGCAAACGATAATAAAGAAATTATACTTTTAGAGGAGGTAGCTGTGTTAGTCCGTGCAAGCATTATCAGTAAAAGTAAAAAAAGAGACAAAAACATGGTAGCACCCTAAAGACTGACTTAAACATTTTTTAATGTGAGTTTTTGTTGACAAGTCACTCCTTCCAAAGAAGCAACGGCTGTTGCTGCTCCGAAACTCTAGAACTCCCTCCCAGGGGAGGCTCAGCTTATTCTGCCAGCAGATGAAGACAGACGTTCCTCTTCAGGCAGGCTTTCCCTTAATGACTGGGTGGGTTTTTTAAAATGGATTGTTGTGCCTTGTTGCTTTGAATTGTGTTTTTAGTATTGATTTTATTTACTGTTTTAAATATAATATTTGTTTAATCCTTTTAACTATATATATCCTTACTGTGTCTGCTTTTAAATATTGCCTTTTTAATGGTGTAAGCCTCCTTGGGTACTTTTTAAGGAGAAAGACAAAAGTAAAAATATTTTAAATAAATAAAAAAATATGAGTGTGTTCATTCATAGGCATCAGGAATGCACTGCTTGATATGGTTTTCATGTCCCTATTTTTCAAAACAACTCTGTAAGGTAGGTTCCGCTCGGAAGTACTGCCCAGTCCAAGAACACCAATTATGTTTTGCAATTCCAGCAGAGATATGGACTTAAGTTTTCCTTTTATAAATCTATCACTCTAATTATTACACTATACGATTTCTCTCAGATCTGTGATGACTGAACAACGTCAGGTGGTTAAAAAACTGGCAACATTTCATGCGTTTAATTCGCATAACATGAGAAAGCATAGTAATTTGCATAATATGCAAATAAAACCACCTGAAGTGCATATTGTGCATATTAGGGCACCTGGATTTAGAGAAGTGGCGTAGGCCATCCCACCTCGTGTGCACGAGAAAACGGGTTGTAATCCGACCAAATTAGAAGCCAAAAATAAATCTTTGTAGCAAAACATAGGGCAGTTACCAAAACCGAGTTCCCAAAACATAGGTGAATTGAGAGTGGAGGAAAAGGCAGCGAACAGGAAGACTTGAACAAAGAAAACAATGGGAGCATCCATGGGAGAAATCGCTTACCCCAAAAAACCCCGTCCCTGAGCACGTGGGCCTGGCATGCAGCCAAGCGTTTGCCTGCTCCTTGGCAACCGTGGGAAAGAGGAAGCCTTTTTTTTTGTATGTGTGTGTGTGTGTGTGTGTACGGCTTTAAGCCACTGACACCGAAGCCTCCGCAGGAACCTCCCGCGAGGAGGAGGCCCACGAGGCCCCACCCCCTCACCTAGCCAATGCAGTCGCTTTCCACTAGTCCCGCCTCCGCCCCTCCTTTTCCTCCTCCCCGATGTCAGGGTGACGAGGGGGCGGAGCTAACTGATATAATGGCTCCTCCCCCCCGCTCTTCGGCCCCCCCTTCCGCGCAGAAGCGGTTCGCGGCAACGTCAGAGGAGGTGGATGCCTCCGTCCGGCCCGGCGACCTCCCACTCGCCGCCGCTTGCGCAATAACGCGGCGTCGTTGTCTTCTCTGCCGTGAGGCGGCAGTGGCTGTAAGGAGGGAGAGAAGGAAAGGGAGGAGGAGGAGGAGAGAGGAGGGGAAAGAAGAGTTGGCGGCGGCGGCGGCCCGAGCCGGGGGATGGAGCAGCCGCCGCCAGCTCCACCACAGGAGTCGCTGGGGCGTCGTCGTCTCCCCCGACTCCCAGAGCCGGTAGGTGGCTGCGAACGGGACCGTCCTCCCGAGTCCCCCGTCTCACTTCTCCAGCCCCTCCCTCCCTCCGCCTGCGTCTCGGTGCTTGGGCGGCCTCCAGGGCCCAGCTCTCCTCACAGGAGGTCCCGGGGCTCTTCTCGCTTCCCCCTCAGTCCTCCTGGCCGCCTTCTCTCACAGTGAGGGCTTTCTTTCCCCCCGCCCGCCCGCTTTCTTTCCTTCCGTGTGTTTGCCTGCCTGCCTTCTCTGTCCGGTTCCCCTCAACGGCCGCCCCCTCCCCGGGCCCGTCACTTGGGGGGGGGAATGTGTCCTTCCTCGCCGCTCCCTCTGTTCGTCCCCTCAAAACGTGCGGGGTTGCGCCTTCTGTGTTCCTTCCTCTCTCTGTTTCTCTCTCTCCCTCTCCCCCTCACCCCGCAATCATCGCCCATTGTAGAGCCTTGCCTTGAGAGGAAGGGACTGACTTCTGCTCTGAAATCCATCACATCCCTAGAAGGTGGAATAAACCCTGGGAGAGAGTTCAACATCCTCGAGTTAGGGCGAAGTCTTGGTTTTGGGACACAGATTTCTGCGTTGCCTCATAGGTCTTCAGGCAAGACAGTCTCCCTCTGTTTCGTGAAATAGATTTTTTGAAAAAAATCAAAACGTACGGAATAGGTATGTTGTGCTCCGATTAGGGTTCTTTTCCCCCTCTCCATCTTCAGAATCTACTGACGAGATTAGACCGATGGAGAGAGGAAGGTATGGGTGAAACCTGGACCTGTAAGGCAGGCTCTGGTGCAGAAGTCTCTCCTCAGGAGCAGCTGCCTTTTTCCATTGCCACTCGATTTCAACAATTTTGTTTGGGACAGAAGGTCACCATGGCATTTAGAATGAGGATAGTGAGTAAATTTTTTTGGGAAAAAACACAGCTAAATTATTGACGGAAATATTTTATGATCCCTGCATTAAAATACACATGTATCTGAGCATAACCTAAAGCATTTTGTGTACTGTGGAGCAGCTAGGAATACTGTGAAGTACCTAAAAGTAAGACACTGTCTTTAGGTAGTTTGGTATTAACAGCCTGTACCTTTGCATTGGAATCCTTGTTGATTCAATATATTAGGCCAGTACATTACGCTTTGTTGAACCTCCTACACTTATATTACTCCAGAGTACAGTGACTTGTAGGGAAGAGTGTTCAGCAGTTAAACTGCCAAATATCTCAAATTTGCCATGCTTTAATTTCCTTCAGAAAAGTATTGACCTTTAAGTTATAATTAGTACATGAAGAAATGGAATGTGTTCTTTAATAAACAGATATTCATTATGGAAATAGAATTTTAATAGAATTCTTGCTTCAGAAGCAGTGAAAGAACTTGATTGAAATTGAGTAAAAGAGGCTTTTAGAAGCATATTAAAATAAAGACTTGGGTGGTGCTGAGTCTTAAGAACATAGTGGCAAAACCCCTGGCGGGGAACACCATTCACATAAGGGTAATTGTGGAAGTAGTTTTCTCCTCTAGCTTTTTGTCTGTCAAGTTGCTAGATGAATGCTTGGGCATGAGATTGTTTGTATGATTAGCAAATGCAGGGAGCACAATGGAGAGCAGTAAAATTTACCTAAAACAATTAATAATTGTGTGCCATCTAGTCAGTTCTGACATACGGAGACCCTTTTCAGTATTTCTAGGTAGAGAGTATTCAGAAGCGGTTACCATTCTCTTCTTCTGGAGGGGGCACCCTGGGACTGTACAGCTTGCCTGAGGCCACATAGGCTGACTCTTCTGGAATATAAAATGGGGAATTGAACTTCCAACTACAGACAGGCACGAATCAGAAAAATGGTGATTCATTTTGATTCATCATTTGTCAAGGTCAACAAATTATGAATTTATGGTTTTCCAGACAAATCAATTGGTTGATTAATTTTTGTCTTTTAAACCCTATAAAAAAGGCTCCAAACACCTAGAAACACAGAAAATGCAGGGAAGCTTCCTCTGAGACTCGTCTACAATCCCTGCAATTTGGTGAAGTTTGGGTTTTGAATGTCTGAGTTAGACGCCCACAAAGAGCCCCTGCCCAGGAAAGTTAGCAGCTGGGTTGGGGAAACCCAATGTTCACCAAACTTGAAGGGATTGTAGAAGAGAGTCATGGGGTGCTTCTCTGTGATTTTGGTGTCTCTAGGTTCCTGGGGATAATTTTCGGGGGGGGGGCTCTTTGTAGGTGCAGAACCCGAACATCTGAAACCCAGTCTTCACCATACTTGGAGAGATTGTAGAGGAGAGTCAGAGGAAGATTCTCTGCAATTTCAGTCTATCTAGGTGCTGGGGAGGGCATTCTATAGCCCAATACATCAATGAATAAAAAAATCACTAAAATAATTGTTTTGTATTCATAGGGGCAGTGAGTTGTATGAATACAAATCAATGAATTAGCAGCTTTTCAACTAATTTGGTGATTTGTTTTTTATATTTGTGCCCTCTCTACTCCTAACCATTGATTCCACAACCAGTTACTTAACTCATGAAGCTGTCCAGCCAACTCGTGGTACAATTATGTGAGACGATAGGATTCTTGTCAGTGTGTTTGTTTTAATCAACATATTTTATTTCATCGGATTCTGGAACTGTCGCTGTCTTGTTTTGACATAACTCCTGTACTTTTAGAGAGGTTTAATAGGGTCTTGATTTAGGTCATTGTTTTGTAGCCTACCTAGCGGTTCAAAAGGATGCAAATGCGAGTAGATAAATAGGGACCACTTTGGTGGGAAGGTAACAGCGTTCCGTGTCTAAGTCGCACTGGCCATGTGACCACGGAAGATTGTCTTCGGACAAACGCTAGCTCTATGGCTTGGAAACGGGGATGAGCACCGCCCCCTAGAGTCGAACACGACTGGACAAAAATTGTCAAGGGGAACCTTTACCTTTACCTTTGTAGCCTAACTTAAGAAATGCATAATAAACTGCTGATGCTTAATACAATTACTGGATATATGAACACCGTAAATACTAATTTAAAATCTATTGGTAGTTAATTTTCTCATTCTTATCATCATAAGCATCAATAACCAACGCCAGTCCCATTTTGCTTAATCTATATTGCATTGTAGTTACCTGGAGAACAAGCTAAGCCTTATAAGGTATATTGTACATTTTGTGCAATTTTGATTGTTGGTACGTGTTGTCTTGAAGGTGTGATGTTATCTCTCTGGCTAACAGAACAAAGAAAGCATAAATCTGCACCCTATCAGAGAAAATAATTGCTAATTGTTAACTCATAAGAGAAAACACATGCACTGTTCTGTTCTGTTGAAATAACTGAAAGTGTGTGGGTTTGGTCCTCCCAAAGGGCCAAGTTACACAGGATAAGAAATATGTGGTTTGTTCATTCCCCCCTCCCTCTTTTGGAAAATCAGGCCTGTGGGAATCTCTTTCTGGGTTGGGTCTATGAGGTGAAGAGTGGAATTTAATCCCTTCATATGCTGCTGTTGGCCTAATGAGGAAAATTCTTTCCCCCCAAACCTTCTTGTTTGCCCTTGGAGGATACCTCATTATTGACAAAAATGCAAGAATAAAGCAAAGTAAATTCTAATACAAATTTATGCAATTATCAAAAAAGGCATGAAACTAACATTAGAGAGCAGCAGCAATTCAAGGGACTAAAAAGAATGTCTAGAAAGCCTGGGAGAATAGAAAGAGGTATTCATCAGTTCCTGATAAGATCTACTGGGTAGAAATTAGCTACCTAGTGGCGCAGGGGCATAAGATATTACTAGAGTGTTGCATGATACAGTATAAAGAAAACAGCTGCAGACAAGATTTTTCTCCTTCATAATAGTGAAACATAGATCTTCCCATGAGATTGTAATGATGAAACACTTTTCACAGTATATAGTAAATTACTGAAATTTGTGCCAAATTTTCAAGGAGACAAAGAAAACTGATAGAGAAAAAAATCTGGCAGGTTACTTGCCATGACAGCAGCATGTTTCTATAGGATGTAAGGTAGTATAGTGCAGAATACCATAAACCTGAAGAAATGACAGGGTTGTCATCTTGATAGAGCTTCCCAATCACAGTATGTGTCTGGCTGCTGCTGGAAATAGGATTCTGAAGTACATTGATCAGGACCAGTGATTAGCTACTGTTGGAAATGGGTGACTGATCCAGTAATGTTGCTCTTATTCATAGTGTGATGTATCTGTGAGGGTTCGTATGTGTGGGCTGTCTTTTCTTCAATAAACGGACGAGACTCTTGAGGAATATCAAACGGCAACGTATTTATTTCAACCTTAACATCATCAGTAACTATACCCATGAAAGGGTTCAGGGACGTTTGGAGACCAAGGTTCGGCTTGGAAGGAGTCCATAAACTATGTACAAATGGGTTAGAGTTCTCTGGATTCCAGGGTCCTGTTGAAGGCGGCACAGGCTCTGGTCCAGGGTTCACTTCTTCGTCCAGGGATATTAAGGGTAGGGTCTCCTCGTCTCCACTCCAGCCGTCCCAAGAGGATCCGTCTTCTACTGTGAAGCCCCAGGGGCCGGGTAACCCCCCAGCTTCCTCAACTCGGCGATATGCCATTGGCGCTTGCGTTCCAATTCTCTGGCAACCGCCTCTCTCTCCTCTCGCAGTTTCCTGCGCCACTCTTTCGCCTCCGTCTCTCCCCAGTAAGACGGGCGAGGTTTCAGCCCCAGTTGGCGACGTCTTTCTGCCTCTTCATGGGGTACTCTAACCTGCTCCCACTTGTGGGTCCAGGGGTCCTCCATCCAGACCCACTCCCAACCACCTGGAATATCTTTCGGCTTCCCCCTTATATCTCCCATTCCCGCTTCTATCTCCTCCCCTCTTTTTCCCGCCTGAATCCGTCCCGTTTCGCGGGTAATCTTTAACCCCTTCACTTCCTCCTCTAGGTCCCGGGTATCTACCCCCTTGCTCAGGGTAAGGGTTCCGCCGCATTCTGCTTCCCAATCAGGGGTTTCCACTCCTTTCTCCTCCCGTCGCGGGGGGGATGGTGGGGGGGA